GGCGATCGACCAAACACTGCGTGGTGAGCGAGCCAGGGCCCCCTTGCGGCGTGTGATTGTATTGTCATGTCATGTGTAGCGTGGTTTTAAAGACCCATGCGCCATGCGTTGCGAGGAGTGAGTCCGTTCTTTGGTGGTTAGGTAAATAATTGGGGGCGCGCGCAGGCTACACGCACACACTTTAGCTTATGCAAATAATTGCTTCTGCGCCATGCTATCGGTTCACCGCCTCACCCTGTTGACCCCCATTCAAGTTTTGTGCATATGTACATGTACATGTACATCGGCGCATAGCATACATGTATAAATAGTTATTATGAGCCACGTCTGCTGACTCACGGTTACGTATGCATGATACCTGCTGACACATCCCCTCGCATCCCTTTCTTGTCCCGCACGCACTCGTGTGGATCTACACCTGCTGTCTGGACGTTCTTGTCGTGTGTCGTCGTACACGATGGCCGATGGATTGACCGTACGATGATATGCCGTACACACAGTGTAATCAGTTTGTTCAACAAGAACCGGAAGTGCTGCCCGACCTACACCGCTGCGGTATCGTAGTGCTTGGTTCCTCGCTGTGTCAAAACAGCTATCGAATAACGCGTCGGTGGACATGTGGCGGATGCATGCATGTCCTCAAAGTAGACGATGAATGACCGTCTCACAGCAGGGTTCCACGGTTTAGGAGTCTGAAGAATTCGTGGAGTGATGGTATTGCGTGCGAGGTCTATTTGTTTGCAGGAATGGGTGCGATCGCAGGAGAAGTTGTTTTCGTGTGTGTGTGTGTGTGTGTATGTGTATGTGTATGTGTATATGTGGCACATGCATGTAGGGGTGTGTTGGCATGAATGCCTTTTTTGCGTTGTTCGCATTATACAAGCATAGCAGGTTGTCCTATTTGTTTGTCACGGACATTGGCAGCTATTGGGCCATACTTCAGGATGACGCGCAGTTGGACGTGTCTGGCTTCTAGGACCAGGAATGGTGGTTTGAAGTAAATACGTGTGCGTGATAATGTCGCCCTCGATCGATTAGGCTCAAGCACTAAATCAGTGGGATGAAGGGCTACCCGGCGCCCGGCGATTTCTTCCTCGGTGGATCCGCCTCTTTGGCAATTGTCAGCTATCGGTAGCAATGCAACTTGTGCGATGTCACCCTGTCCTATCGTACTTGTAACTTTGGTTTGGACATATGTCCCAATGGTCCACTCAATGATTACCACGCATCACCGCATGGGGCATTGCACAGCATTGTATAAGAACACATGTGCTGCTTGACGGCTCCAAGGCTGCAAAGTCCAGGAAGGTAGCTGAGCCAGACGTTAACGAGGGTGGGCGCCAACCAACTAGGAAAACCCTTGCGGAGACTTGGTGACTCCAGAGCCTCAGAGCAAAGTCCATCATGTCGTTAGTGGCTCTATTCAGGGCTCGCGGAGAGCTGATAGAAGCTGGGGAGAGAGACGGTCCTGGCCGTTTGGGTGCGTGGATTTTGACCAACCAAGGACGGAGGACTGAACAGGGTTGCATTTACTGCATTTACTGCGGTTTTGGTGTGAAAGCAACACAACGACAATGTGAGACACTAAGATTCTTTGCATGGACCGGACGGACACCTGGGTCAGGAGGGGATTTGCACCCCAGTTGCAGTACGGCAGCACTGTGTTGGTTATTCAACGGGGGTTCTAAGGGGGTGGAGCCCCCACCAGCCGCTTGGGTCAGGAGCGATCGATAAGCGACACACCACAAGACAAATGTTATCGCAAGCTTAGCTACAAAAACCTCGGCTACAAATTTGAGGACAAGCTGTGTCGGCTCCCTCGAAGCAGGAAAAAGGGCGGGGGCCCCCTGCATCCGTACAGGCCTGTAGCTAGGGCGGCACGTGTGACAATTAATGGGTAGTGTCAACGTGGTGGGAGCTGTGCTTCTTGCAGCAGTGCTGATGCTGTGGGAGCTATGCTTGTCAGCGCGCGGGAAGGCAGGAAGCCGGGGCTCATAACCTGTTGAAGAGACGGTGTCCCTCTGAAACCTAGCAGACATGGGTAAGAGCCATTGGCCGTTACACGTAGTCGGGAGGTCCGCGACCTGCCACCGACAGCCCCTTGCCTGGGCATAAACGTATGATCTGAGGTGCCGTTATCGGCACACAGCAACAGGGGCTTGGCCGCCAAGTCCGCGGTCCAGGCCGGCTGCTCAACGCTCAGCAGACACAATCGCAGCTTGCCAGCCTTCAGCCTGTTGGCTTTGCGGTCTGGTGCCGCAGCCCGAACACACACAGAAAACAGCGCCGTACAGCACCGTACGCACTGCCTACGGCGCCCCTTCAGGCATTGACCTGCCCATTCGGTATAACCTCCTGACTCTTGCATTAGCGATGGCAGCGGCGCACATAGTACATGGTTCTAACGGGCGCCTGCTCACGCGCCCTTGGCGCCCCCCTCAAAGCCTAGCTCGACACACTTCCCCAAAGCCCGCAGCACTTCCCGGTGCTGTCTGTGATGTTTATCCCCGAAGCGCCAGCGGCTTCAGCAATCCGCCCCACAGCCGCGAGCTTCATCGTGGCACACTGCAAGTCTTCGGAGGCCCCGAGCATTGGCCAAAGTAACTGTACAAACGACGGTCGCATGGACACTACAGGAGGCCATGGGGCCATAGCGATGGGGGCAAAGGGGGGTGTACTGCTCACGGCCCCCCAACGGCGTTGCCTGTGGCTCGCCATTCCCCCATCGGGACTTCACCCTCTTGTGTGGTGGGAAGTAGCGGCGCTCGAACAAGGCCGGCAACGGATGTTGCGGCAACCCCTGTCCCTTACATGTCTTGTGTGTCCCGCATACACGTGTGGTGCTCAAGGGGCCCACGGACACAGCCTCTCCACCCTCACCTCCGCATCACTGAGGGTGTTAGGTCAAGCGTCGTACTATCATCTCCCTGATCCCTGTGTAGACGCCACGATGCTCCCCATGCATTTCACTGCGTGTGCTTATAACAATGCATGACTGCTTAGCTCTCGGACTGTGGACTAGCTGGCTTGTAGTAGCTGGTACACAGTGCGGCACACATATCAACTACAAATCCGCGCGAAGCGCTCGATCAGTATCCCGAGAGGCCTTTTCAGCGGCCAGCTACTACACAATTGGTAGGTATCGAGACCTTGGACGTGTTTGCAATCCTGTTATCATCAGCTCGACTCCAACGATCCACAAAAAGTGGATATCGGGATAGATGACTGTCATTGCAGGAAAACTCGAGTCAAAATGTAGCTGTGGCTGCCTGGGAAGACTCTGTGCCCGAAAACCTAAAGACATCTAGGCGCTTGCGTGGGCGGCACGTGACATGACGTGGACTGCGCACCCTCAGCCCCGGGGTAGGCAATGGTAGGCACAGGCTTGTGTATGGGGCCGTAAGGGGGTGCACAGTACGGCACTCATATCAGCTACAAATACGCGCGAAGCGCTTGGTCAGCATGGCGAGAGGCCTTTTCAGCGGCCAGCTGCCAGTGCTACAAGGCTATTGGTAGATTTTGGTGGACGTTTTGGACCTCCAGGTAGTTGCCTGGGACCGTTTGGGTGGTGGTTCTCCACCGTATATACCTGTATATATACATATATGCCGCTCCCAGTTGACCCAGTCGACCCGGGTTCAAATCCGCCTGCCGGCTCCTCGGGTGTTTGAGGATTGATGAAATGGGAGGTGGCCCCCCATCTTATGGACGGTGTAGGACGTGATAATATCAACTTGCGAGCTGACCAGGAACTAAGTTGATGCGCCGTTGATCCGCTAGATTTGGTTGGATGCTGGTGGTGAGTTGCCGAACCCAACGAATACATTCTGAAGTCGGATGGGGTGACGGATTAGGGTGCCCCTCTAGCAGGGGAGAGCAGGGACTGCCCCGGGAAAGGGGGCCGCTGGCGAAGTTAACCACCCTGTAACAACATACATATATGCCACGTCCTAGTGGCCATGCCTTTGTGGTTTCCCCTCTCCCTGTCCATGTAGCTATTAGGAGAGATTTGGAATCCGTAAGGCGGTCAGCATTATTAACTAGAAATCTTACAATTGTCGTTTTCATCTTTTCTTAATGAAGCTGTAATCCTACATAACTTGTGCATACATGGTCTCAATTCAAACCAAAGTACAGCGCACGCTGTGTAAAAATGTCAGCCGCATAGGTTAAGCTGTCATGCAGGACTTTTAGAGTAATTTATTTGTCTTCTGAAAGATTATGGAAGGATCAGGCAAATCAGACGATCAGGTCAAAGCAACCCGAAGAGCGAGGCCCATCCACCCCCGACCCCGAGTCGCATCGGGATCCAAGTCGCCCTAATTGGAGCCAACCTCTCTCGTGCCAACCTCAGATCAGCCCCAATCGCATACACGTGAACACGTCCTTAGCTAGCTGTTGCCCGGCATATCGCGCAGCTAAAACGATGGCATCACCTACCTGCTGCAAGCTGCAATTTGAGTTGGAAAGTTTATCCGAAAATTGTCAGCTACCATGGGGGACAGACTGGACCGCAACACCATCACATTTACGGCACTCACCGCCACGCTTACATGAACTCCATGCATCCGCGCGCAGCAAGCTAGTATCGTGCAAAATCCGTGCCGAACGGTCATGGTTTCAGCAGCGTGGAGCGTACATCAGAAAGCTGAAAACCGCCGTGCATTAGGCCCATGCGTGGTAAACTGCTGGCGGGCGGTGCAGGTGAGGCCGGAGACAGGACCACATAAAAGGCCTTGTCCGTTCTTTGTTCCTCAGTCGGAAGTCGCCAACCCAACCATGGCGCCTCCGCTTCTCCTCGTGGCTTCGGCTCTGGCACTTGCATGGTAACGATTGATTGCCCAGCACTAGCAATGTCACAAGAAGTTAGGCTGTTGCGCTGGAATTGGATGTGAATATTAAAGCGATATGACGGGCCTAAGCAATAATGCCGCAGATAACTTAAACACGCAATCATGCCTGCATCCAAGCATTAGTTTGGTGACAATAATATTAATCTCAAACTTAGCCAATGGCACTTCTGCCGGTTTTGCTTTGCCTGCTCCTTCATTCCTCTCACTTGGCTGCAGGGCGTGTGGAGCGACCGCCCAGGTCGCGCCGGTGGAGCTCGCGTACACACAGACGGGCGCGGTGCCCTATTTCCCCTTCTTCTTGTGCGCTCGGGCGCAAGCTTCTTTCAGTCTCGCCCCAGTCGTCACCAACGTGGGCGGAGGCCAGTACTGCTTCACCCTGCTGGCCGTACCTTGCAACAAAACATGCTGCAATGTCCCGTGAAGAAAATTGAGGTGCGCCGGCTGCTTGGGCGGT